AGACTATGTCCACTGCTACCCCTGCATCTAATGATCTGGTGATCTGATCGTAGAAGGCCACCAGGTTGGTCTGACAGGACCTGCCACTGATGAACCCGCGTTGGTTGCCCCTAAGCATGCAGTCCCCTGCTGGCCCCTCCTGGATGTGTGCCAGAATTATTTTCTCAAACAGCTTGCCTAGGATCAAAGTAAGACTAACTGGCCTATAGTTTCCCGGGTCCTCCTTCCTCCCTTTTTTCATTTTTTCCTCCCTGGGTCTCCACATTGCCCCCCCTCACTTGGGGCTTCAGATTTCTACCCCTTACTAGGGGCTACCCCCTCACTGGGGCTAGCACACTACACCTAACTTGGGGCTACTGATCTCAGCCCCCTTCACTGGGGCTACCCCTTCACTAGGGTTCCACATATTTCCATATTTTCATTTCGGGTACATCAAGCCGCTGATAGCTTATAAAGTTACACTTAAAATGATTAGGATGGTGATTCTGAACCAGGCTGCTATGGGACTCTGGCACACTGTGGTAAAGTGGGCTTCTTTCACGCCAGCCGTCGCCAGCCTCCCACTTGCCTCTGGGCACACCTCCTGCCTGTCTCGGCTGCCACGACTTGCTGGAAAATTAATAAGCTGTTAAATAAGGCGGGAGGCTGCCCATTTTTCTTTGCACCCTGATATAGGGGGTGTCCGTGGCTCCATACTACACCGTGACCCAAGCCTCGCAGATGGCCTCCACATGTTAATGGTCACACCAGCCCCACACTAGGCTCCAGAATCCTCTTGACAGGACCCTCCTTCGATCCCTCTGCTCCAGTGGCCTACGCTGCCTTCATCCGGGGTGCCGAGATCCTCGTCGCTGGCTCCCCTCTCGGGCATGGTCCCCACTCAAGACCTTTGGCCATACACAGGCCCTGGCCTCACCTCAAAGGCCAGGCAGGGTCCCACGCCCACAACTCTAGGTGCCCCTCATGGTGGATGCCTGGCCCTTTTGACCTTCTTGGTCCTGTCCCCAGCATGGACCAGTTGAGGAGGCACCTCCAGCCTCACTAGCCCCAGACTCTCTCCAGGTCCCCTTTCCTGGATGTGGGGAGCTGGGGTACCTCACACCATGACTGGTTCCCCAGGGTCTCACAGGGGACTCTTACTCCCCTCCTGGGGCACCAGGTTGTGGTGCTACTATGGATGTTACATTTGATCCACACTCTGCCTCCCAGCAGTGGGGGACCTACCAGGGTCAGGACTCACCTCTCTTGCTCTGGGGCTAAGCCCCCCGTTCACTCAGCCCCTGGCCCAAACCTTGGCCTCAGGTGTCTGAAGACTTCCTGGGCCTATTCCCCTTGCCTGGGTCTCCACATTGCCCCCCCTCACTTGGGGCTTCAGATTTCTACCCCTTATTAGGAGCTACCC